TACCACCAACTAGAGATGGAAGAAGATTCCAGAAAATACCTCACCATCAACACACACATGGGGTTGTTCCAGTACAATAGACTAGTGTTCGGCATCACTTCAGCACCCGCTATCTGGCAACGCACCATTGATCAAGTGCTGGAAGGGACATCTGGCACAAGCTGTATACTTGATGACATGATTATCACTGGAAAGAGTGATGAAGAACACCTGGCTAACTTAGAAGAAGTCCTTCGACGGCTACAGTTTCATGGTTTGAGAGCTAACAAAGCCAAATGTGAGTTTTTCAAGGAGAAGATAACCTATTGTGGACATGATATTGACAAGGATGGCCTTCACAAGTCTACAGCAAAAGTAGAAGCGGTTTTGGAAGCACCACGCCCAAACGACGTAGCTGAAGTAAGATCATTTCTCGGGCTAATCAACTACTACCATAGGTTCTTACCTAACCTGTCGACAACTGTCCACCCCTTGACTCAACTCTTGGGAAAGGACCACCAATGGAAGTGGACAGAGCAATGCGAGGCAGCATTCCACAAGGTGAAAGAAATGATCACTTCAGAGCAAGTTCTAACACATTATGATCCCAGTCTGCCACTTAGACTTGCTTGTGACGCATCCCCCGTAGGCATTGGAGCAGTGCTTTCTCACGTAATTAACGATGGTACCGAGCGACCTATAGCTTTTGCTTCAAGGACACTGACAAAAACTGAGCAAAAGTATGCGCAGATTGACAAGGAAGCTTTGTCGATAATCTGGGGTGTCAAGAAGTTTCACATGTACCTGTTTGGCCGTCCTTTCACTCTATACACAGATCATCAGCCATTAACTTCAATCTTTCATCCGCGGAAGAGCATCCCCGTGGTCACCGCAGCACGTCTTCAACGTTATGCCTTGTTCCTGGCAGGCTATGACTACTCCATTCAATACAAGAACACTAAGGTTCACAGCAATGCAGATGGTCTTTCCCGCCTACCACTGTTAACGGAAGCCAAAGATGAAGAAGTGGTTGACCCAGTGGGTGTATTTAATTTGATGCAGTTTGACCCTTTGCCAGTCACAGTGGACAACGTTAGACGAGAGACACAAAGAGATCCTGTCTTGGCCCAAGTGCATGAAATGACCAGGAAGGGATGGCCAAACAACCATGACCCTGTACTCAACCCCTATTTTGTTCACAAAGATGAGATCACGTTACAATCAGGCTGTTTGATGTGGGGAATAAGAGTAATAATACCCCCAAAACTACGCCCTCAAGTTCTCAAGGAACTTCATCAGGGACATATGGGAGTCGTGAAGATGAAGGCCCTGGCCCGAAGCTACACCTGGTGGCCTGGAATCGATAAAGAAATTGAACTGTCTGCTAAGTCCTGCCCAGGTTGCCAACTAGTACAGAGGGAGCCCAGTACAGTGCCAGTGCACCCATGGGAATGGCCTTCGTTGCCCTGGCAACGAATTCATATCGATTTTGCAGGTCCCTTCCTTAACAGCATGTTTTTAGTGGTAGTGGATGCACATTCACGTTGGCTAGAGATAGAGAAAATGAACACTACAACCTCAGCGAAAACCATTGAAACCCTTCAGAAGTTGTTTGCAAGATATGGCGTACCAGCCCAGTTAGTGAGTGATAGTGGGCCTCAGTTGACATCAGAAGAGTTGCAGCAATTCCTTAAGAGAAACGGCATCAGACACATCCCCTCAGCACCTTATCACCCTGCCACCAACGGCCTAGCAAGAAGGTGCTATCCAGAGTTTCAAGAATGCCACGAAGAGTGAAACTGAAGTGACATCTTTGAACATTAAGTAGGCGAAATTTTTGCTAACTTATAGAAACATCCCCCACTCAGCCACCGGAGAGCCACCGTCCCAGTTGTTTTTGGGAAGAAGATTAAGCACTCGACTGGACTTGTTAAAACCAGATCTCTTCATCCAGATAAACAACCGTCAGATCGACCAGTCTGTTGCCAAGAGTGGTTCTGTAACAAGGCATTGTTGCATTGGTCAGAGGATGATAGTACGAAATCACACTGGAAAGTCAAAGTGGGTACCCGGTATTGTCCATGCATGATTGGGACCCCTGTTTTATGAAGTGGAGATTGGGCTTGACCTAGTTTGGCGTCGACACACGGATCAACTCCGAGATTGCAATGTTCCTGTTGCAGACAGACACCTGCCAGTTTCATACCCCTTGTCTTCTCCATTCCCAGCCACGACCACTGATCACGCAGTAGCTGAACCACCTAAACAGACAGAAGTTGTCTCGAGGGAGACAGACTGCCAGTCACCAAAATGCAATCCAGTGGCTGATTCGTCCGTTAGCAGCTCACTGAGCCAGATTGAACATGTTCCTGTTAGACGATACCCTTCCAGAGTGCGGAAACCCCCAGTTCGGATGGATCTTTGAACATTGAACTGCTTTTTTTCGGGGGAGGGGGAGTTTAAGAATGGATTTTTACTGATAGCATGTTGCCTTGAACTTTTGGAAACTTTTAAATTCTTAAGGACTTTAGGGGTCAAGAGACTGGCTTACAGGGGAGGTGTTGTGGTGTATGCGGTTGGTTCTTGCGCACCTGTGCGCATTATTCATTTCGTGTGCTTTTCGAAATAAAACCGAATACATGACAGCCACGTTCACATCAAAACATCAAATGACAACATTATAAACACCAAGCGTGAACTGTCCTCTCTGATCAACGAGGACACCTGTTCGACTTTAATGTCGTTCCTGAAAAGCAGAACTACATCTTTTCACAATAACATGAATGCCAGACATTCCAAGAAACTCGCTAACTTGAACAGCATTGGCTCTCAAAAAGCTGACATTGACTAGAGTAACTGGGTTGTGAACCTCTCCAAGAAACCACTTTTACCAGAGGAACGATCCCTCTTGGAGAAAGGCCCTAAATTTGCCCCAACGCCAACTAACATACCTCATAAGAACATCCTGGCTGAAATTGAAGCTGCCATCTGCCACCTGCCTGATGATTCCAAAGATACAGTTAGAACAAGTTCTGCTGCCATTCTTCATAGGGNTTGTGGCCAATCTTTGCAAGGAGGAGATCGAAGAGTCCGCAATCAATAATTCATCCGTTCCCGCCAAGATTCGGAAAAGGTACGTGGACGATAGTTTTTGCATGATTAGAAAGAACGATGTTTCAGCCTTCCATGACAGTTTAAATTCAGTTGACACAAACATCTCGTTTACTATCGAGACCGAATGTAGCGGAAAGATCTCCTTTCTCGACACTCTGGTCTTCCGGAGAAATGGAGTCATCGTTGTTGATGTTTACAGAAAGGCCATTCGTACAGACAGATATTTAGATTTTAATTCCCATCGCGATAGAAAACACAATGTCAGCACAGCATCAACTCTCCTGCACCACCCCACTGCACAGGGCTCTAAATCTACCCCGAATTCCTCCGGTGGAAAAAAGCATGAACTTAATTGTGTCCATGCAGCTTTGGAGTCAAACTGCTATCCATTTAAGTTTATCAAAAACATACAGGATAGAAAAACTCGATCCTTAACGGCAAATGTATCCCCAGAGGAACTTGTTGGAATGTTTTTCGAGATGATTGAAGCAACCGAGTCACACAAGTCTCTTCCTTCTCTTCCTTACATCAAAGGAGTAATTGAACCTTTGACACGTACTCTCAAAAAACATGATGTCAAGTTGTAAACAAACCATTTACCACTCTAAAACAACAGTTCCCAGCTCCGAAATTCGGGCCTTCGATGGAATCGCTGACCAACGTCGTGTATAGAATTCCTTGTGAAAATTGTTCGTGTTGTTATATTGGGGAAACCAGTAGGGCTTTTCAAACCCGAAAAAAATAACATTTGAGAAATATCAAAACTGCGGCCGAAAGTTTAAGAATTGCTAATTACGCCTAGTCCAACAACCACGCCACTGATTTTGAAAACGCGTCAATTATTGACAAAGGCACATTCAGAACCAGAAAAACATTAGAAGCGTGGCATACCAGAATGACACCTAACGCAGATAAAAATTCTTGCCCGTTACATGGACAGTACAATACAACATTCTTTTTGAAAAATATTCATATAATAATTTACACTCTCATTATTTCGCAGTTCATGTCTTTATTTTAATTCTCTCATCGCTTGCTTATCATTCATTTTACCCGTCGAAGACTGCAGCTCGGGCATTCGAAAGCTCGTAGTTTTTGATCATGTTTGCCAGAAATGGTTTTTTAATTTCAAACTTTAATTTTATCATTACACCCTAGCTATATATATCTTTACTCCTAACCTTTTAAACCTGAGAGAGACCAACATCTTATTTCTCCTTACAAAAAAAACGGTACTTGCCATGCCTTCCACATCTCTGGACGTCAAATTCTTCTCATATACACATGGGTTTTTCACTTCTGACTGCATAATTAGTGGGATAGACTGCTTTTCCTT